GAATGTCTTTTCATAGTCAATAAAACACAAACAAACATAGTTTTGGTATAATCTGCTATGAGTCAAGATCCCTCTGACATCAGCAATATCTCTTGATCTGCATCCTCTTCTGAATCCCACCTGAACCTCTGGTTCCCTGTCAGTGTTCTGCTACAACAGTTGTTGGATAATCTTAAGCAATTTTTTTCTTAAGCAATTTTACTTCCGTGTGATACCAATGATATTGTTCTATAATTTCAGCATTCTGTTGGGTCACATTTCTTTGGAATGCGCACAAATGTGGATCTTTTTTAGTCAGTCGGGCAAGCAGCTGTCTTCCTAATTTCCTGGCACAGACGAGTGAGTTCTTTCAGTGCTTCATCTACAGCTTTCTGAAACAGTTCATTGGATATTTCCATCAAATCCTGGAGATGACGTGTTTTTGACTAATGCATTCAATGCAGTTTGAAATTCTTCTTTCATCACCATTGGTAATTGCTTATATGCTGCTACCTCCAGAAATGATGGTATGCTGAGTAATTATTTTTGGTATAGTGACTCTGTGTATTCTTTCCATCTTCCGTTGATGCTTCCTGAATCATTCAATATTTTTTCCCATAGATTATGATTTTTTCTTGAGTATGCATTTTTCTTGAATTCTTTTAGATTCAGATATGCTGAGTATGTTATTCCCTTCTGGTTTTTTAATTCTAGGTCTTTGCTGGCATTTGCATACCAGTAACATAGCTCCCAGCATCACAGCAACCCACAAGTCACCACAGTGTGACAAACGGACAGATAAGAGGTGGTCTATTGAAAGAGAGAGAAAGAGAGTGAAGTGAGAGGAGGAAAGGGAGGGTAGGGTAGTGGAAGAAAGGAGAGAGCATGTATAAAAAAAGTAAGTTTTGCTTGAGAAGAAAAATTTTTTTGTTTAGTTTTTATTAAAAGATCGTTTTATTGGAGGCTCTCACAGCTCTTAAAACAATCCATACAACAATTGTATGGAGAATATTTGTACATATGCTGCCATAATTATTTTCTAAACATTTACTTTCTATTGAGTCCTTGGTATCAGCTCCTCTCCTCCCCACTTTGTGGCCCCTTGAAAAATTATAAATTATTATTGTTTTCATATCTTATACCGACCGCTGTTATCTCCCTCCCTCCAGGATTTGTTGTTCATCCTCCTTTGGGGCGGGGGAGGGGAGACGAGAGGGGATGTGTCGATCATTGCAATTGACAGAATCCAGAAACAGGAATGGGAATAACGATACCAGGAGGGTAGGGGAAAGTTGGGGAGAGGAGGGAGGCAGGGGGAACGACACATAAAAATATGGTTTTAATTACAATAACGAAGCTGTTTCAGCTGTTTTGAATTTGTATACTGTGTACCTGGATATCCCTGTTACTAAATCCAGTAAACTGCTTATTCGTATTTGTCTAGGGCAGTGGGTCTCAACCTGTTGGTCGCGAGCCTTT